GAGAGAGAGAGCGAGAGACAGAGAGGCAGAGTGAGAAAGAGAGAGAGAGAGACAGAGAGAGGCAGAGCGAGAGAGAGAGAGAGACATTACTTCCATAAAGACTAAAACTATTTTTTGTATTACAAGTTTTCTGAAAGTGTGTGTTTAAATATGCAAATGAGGCATTATGTAATGGTAACTTTTGGTGAATTTAGGAGAAATCTACAGACGTAAATAAACAAAGTAGTAAAATAAAAACACCTAAATGTGTATTCTGGATGTTTTCTTTCCACTAGTCTGAAAGAAGACATGTTATAGGAGAATAATAGATCAAAATTAACCAGTGAATCACACCCAACACAGTAGCAGTGAGCACTACAAGTAATATCTTTTTCCATTTAAATCATGTAAAGCATTACAGTTAACACCGTTTCAGATTAGCAGTAATCCTTTTATTGTGGCTCACTGACAGTAGTTGGAGTCGATGACTTGGCGGGCTGTAATAGAGGGTTCTTACCCGATTCGTTCTGCCTCATGCGCTTCATCAGGATGTTGATGTTGACCTTGAACCACTGCTGCTTGCTCTGGCGGGACTGTGTTCCTTTCTCCCAGTAATCGGCCTTGAGTCGCTCCTTCATCCACGTCTGCCTGGGAACCTTCACCTGGTTGTCGCTGTCGAAGTAGTCGATGATCTTCTTGTCCAGCAGCCCCATGGCCGTGAACTGGTGGAGGCCCGGCAGTCCCATGGGTTTTTGGGAGAAGGCCGTGTAGATGTATGTGAGGGAGTGTTTTTCTGCACAGGAAGAGATATTTACTATTGATTTACTTATTACACTAAGGTGGATGAGCACTAGAGCTGACAACAGATAATCCACATTTAAATATATATATAGATAAACAATCATATATATATATATATATATATTTATATATATATATATATATATATATATATTCACAGATATTTATATATTCTCTTACATCTCCAGGACAGTTTCCTACTATTACACAGCATTTTGTTATGCACCAGTCACCAGGTCAAACTCGTATACTTGTATGTGTAACGTATTTGACAATAAACGGTTCTGATTCTGATATAAACAGGTATTTAAATATTCGATATATCCTTTTTTGTTTCTTTCAGAAATTGTCTTGTGCTCGTTCCATGAAAACATTTCAGAAAATAAAAGCATAAGATGAATGAATCCCTGCAGGGTAAAAGGAGGATTAGTTAGTTCAGTGTGGCTTTGTATATACTCACTGTATATAATCCATCGGGCTTAATAATCATATTTATCCAGAAAAGTTTGGCGCGCTTCTCCTCACACAGCGTTGCCAACATCTGCGCAAAAAATACATCAAAACGTGCGGCCTGATCGGGAATAGTGCGCCATGTATTTTCTAGAGAGATTTGAACAGCGGTTTTCGCGAAAATCCCGAAAAACTGAGCAAAATTTCTCCATTCACTTTAACAGTCGTGCTTTGTTTATGAGCTCATGACGTCAGAGTCGTCTGTTCACTTCAGGGACGCAGGAAAAAGGTGGAGATTATGGAACCGAGCCAAAATATTTCCAAAGAGCAATGAACCTTAAAAGATGTCCGACAAGCTGCTGTGGTCTCAGAATATGATCATAACTTCCACTGATTAACTCATCACATAACAGATCAGCAGCTCCACTGTGATTTCTTTCTTTCTTATGAGTTATTCTGAGAAATACATGAAATATTTTAAATACATTAAATATTTTAAATACATTACTTGAACAAAAAAACTTTTTTCCCTGGTTTTTAGAGAGTTAGATTTGTCCATATGTTATCATTTAATAAAAACATTTATCAACTGATATATTATTGAGTGAACGTTATTTATAAACACATAAACGTTTATAGCTCAACGCGCTTCAGACTGGACGCCATGTTTACACGCAGTCTAAATAACTCACGATGTTAAAGCAGTGAATCAACATGTACTCTTTGTTTGGATGCACCGAGTCTTACTGGAAGAGGTGCACATCACTAAACACTAAACATCCATTTAAATAAATTAAACTATAAGAGACAGAAAAACGGATTTTCAAAGACTTGTTTTTTTACTTTCGCTTTCAACGCGAGTCACATAAAGGAGTGAGAGAAGTTAACTCACCGCAGATCACCGTCAGTGTTGTCCCCAAGAGGACGAGGAGTGAGACGAGGGACATGTCGTCTTTTCACCGGACGGCTCTGTTGTTTAAAGCTCTCGTTCTCTCCTCCGACGGTGGGACCGCGTCTTCTCTCCGGTTCAGCCCGCAGCTCGAGGTCCTTCTCTCCGGTTCCTGCTTCTGTCTGACTCGGTCTGTCTACATGGTGCATTCAGGGGCGGCTCGTACATGACAATGTCTATCGCAATATCAAATGTATGAAAAGCTACTTAAGTTATAATGAGAATAACATTAGAACACCTTTACTAATGCTGGATGGAATTAAACTAACAGATATAAAATATATCTTAAATATTTGCACTATTGTTTAGTTCATTTAAATTGTATTCTATTTCATTGTATATATTGTGCATTTTTATATTTTTTATATTTAATATTTTTATACAAACTGTAAAAACTGCAAAATAAATAAAGCACCCGTGTTTTTATTTATATTACTGTAAAAACATAAAAATATATAATATCATGAAATAAAAATAAAGAGGCAGAAGAGATATTTCTTATTAAATTAAATGCACTTATTTAATTTGGCAATTCTTATTTTTGACTGATGTGTCACTTATTATCTTCAATAATCAATTAGTCATCAGAAAAAGGTTTTTGCTTGAAATACCATTCAAACAATTAATCTATGATCAGAAATAGTTGCTAATTAATGTTTATGTACGATAGAAAATGTGACGATGTGAGAAACGTATATTATTACTTTATACATCTTTCTTTCTTTCTATTTTAATCAACTCACTTCATTCTTATATCTCTCATCATATTACTTTATGTTATTTTCCATCTTTTCTTATTTCTTATATAATTAAACTCGCACCAAAACAACTTCCTTGTTCACGTTTAGTTTCTGATTCTTAGAACTAACCAAAGGAACTCTTGATAACAGTTTATGTCTTTAATCTACTGTTATAGCTTCACAATAGTGATGGTTATTAATCTATTCATGTGTTAAATACTGTGAATTAAATAACAGCTGTTTGTCATTTCAACACCTCACTTTGGGATCTGAGAACTTTCAACAGGCATCAATCTTTATTCTTTGTTTTGATCACTGTTTACAGCTTTACGAGCATCAGTGAACGCACCACGTCTGCAACGTTGACTTCATTTCCTTGTTTGTGGTGCGTTGTTGTTCTGTAACTGTGAGACCAGCTTAAATTTATTAAAGAAACAAAGTCTGTAAGACGTCCAGCTACCGATACAGTATTACATCTCATAAGACAAATACCATAAAAACATGAAATAAAAGATAAAAACTCATAAAGCCATATATTTGTCTTCACATATTTTCTGAATTACATTACAATGGGATTAAGATTACATTTACAATACAATAAATTGTTTTTTAATTAATTAAATAATTATTTGTATAATAATTTGCTGTTATAAATAAATATATATATATTTTTTTTACATTTAATACACCCTATATTGCGGATTCTAATATAATTGGCAGTAGTGGAAAGAAACAAAGTACATTTATTGAAGTGCTTTACAGTTTTGAGTTACTTTACGTGAGTCTTTACATTTTAAGTTTATTCTTCTATTTCACTTCATCTCAGAGGGAAATGTTGTGCTTTTTGCTTCATTACATTTATATAAAGAGTTATAGTTATTTTTAATTTAAGAGTTTATAAAGAAAGCATGTGATCGACCTGTCCGCTGTCACACTCAGCCACATAAACATAAATATTCTGGTTGTTTGTAGATTCATGGTTTTAAAAAAGGACAAAACTTATTTTTGAATAAAAAATTAGGAAAATAAACTCTCCGCAGACGTCAGAGTGCGACGGGTGCGCGTGCACTGCTGTCCTGTGTGTTGTTCTGCGAAAATCATTCAATCAGATAATTCAGAAGAGGTTGCTAGGCAGATTACATTACAGCAGGTTGTCAGACAGCACAGGAAGGATCCTCTTACCAATGAAGTACATTTACTCAGGTACAATACACAAGTTTAGTATTTTACTTGACTATTTATATTTTGTGATACTTTATACTTATACTCCACTACATGTTGGAAGACAGTATTTTACTTTTTACTTCTTTTATTTCATTTTACTTCTTTGGTTACTTACTTTACTGAGCCAGATGACATTATTTAAAAATACTAATCAACTGATACATTATGAAGTGTTATTATGGATTAATCTACTCAGAAGTATAAAATAAACTCATATCAGTAATCTCCACTGTGAACAGTTGCAATATTAAAGTGATGAACACTTACAGTGTAGAGGGTTTGGCGACATCTAGCGGTGAGGTTACAGGTTGAAGCTACTGTGTGACCCGCCCTCCTTCCTCTTGTGTAGGTATAAACAACTCATTCTAAGGTAACAGAAACACGAATATTCTGATTTCAGATGATGAAACAGTAGAGAAAACATACTCAATAGATACTCAATAGACCCCATAAATGCTACACACTGTTCCTTTTATGCATTCATAATTTAAATCCAATCATATATTTATAACATTATTCTGAAATTGGCCATTCTGTAAAACGAGTTTGATGTGATTTAATTGAGAATATCATAAAACAAAAGTATGTGCCGCACCTCTCAGTAAGATCATAACAATGAATCATTATTAAATTGTTTGTGACGTGTTTTCCTGTTTCATTGTTTCTGGATATATGTTATTTAGTTTACGTACTTGATGTCTTTGTTACCTAAACATAACCGTGACCGCTACACGCTAACAAATGACATGAATAGCCTAAAATAGCAACAATATAAAATATAAAATGTTGTTATACATTTATGTTATACATACATTTTAAATATATATACATATATATACATATATATTTTTTTTCAATGCAAAAAACATTTAGTAAAGTAACTAAAGCTGTCAGATAAATACAGTTGAGTAAAAGTTACCATGTGTTATGTATAAGTACCTCATCATGAGCAAATGTACTTGCACCACGAGTCTGAACTCTTTATTTATTTCCAACAAAGTAACACACAGAGAACACTTCCAACATATCTATTTATCTTTATTTATGTACATATCTTGTTACAGACGTTAGACTTTGGATTCGACAGAAGTACTTTGACATTTATGTTGACTTTTGCTGCCGTGTCCTCAAACACAGAAGAAGAAAAACACTGCGAGCAAGATTTTCCATCGCAGTGTTCAATCCCGTTTACTGCCAGTCGTGCATTTAAATATAATGCTTTTTGTTATGGTATAGCTTAGTTTTGTTCTTCTTCTGTTGAATATTTCCTCTAACTTAAGTGCAACCTGCCATAAACCTTTTTATTCTTCAAGGCAGTGATCCACTGGGCAACTTTTCCAGCAACGTTTGGTTGCCATGAATCATTTAAAGACGTGTCGTTGTTGCCTAGAAAATTGCCGAGTGTATCTCCGCCCTCATATTTGGAAAAGAAGCCCGTTAACTGAATCATCTCCTCTTTCCTCACCCGTTAAAAACCCCTCCCTCATCAGTCTGTTCCCCCTCCTCCTTTAATCCATCCATCCCCTGTCGGTCCATCTTTTCCTCCCAAAGCGGAAACCGGTGCCTCCTTTCTCCCGGCTGATGGCCTGGAGGCCTCCAGCGATGGAGGTCAGAGCCTCGTTCCTCTTCCCTCCGTCCTCCCCTTCTCCTCCCTCCTGATAGTTCATGCTCTCCAGAGAGAGACCCACGGGGAAGGGCGACAGCGGCTGAACCACCAGGTCTCCTCTCTGGGCTCTCAGCAGGGCCTTTTCCTCCCAGGACCCGCCCTCCTCCTTCTCCTCCCCAGGCCTCAGCACCCAGTCGTCATCCAGAGCATCCTGGAGGTGCAGCAGGGCGGAGTCCAGCAGGGCAGAGTCCAGCAGGGCGGAGTCCAGCAGGGTGGAGTCCAGCAGGACGGAGTCCAGCTGGGCTCCATCCGCCGGGGGCAGCAGGGAGGTGGGTGATCGGGGGTATGATGTGACGGTCCGGGGGACGAGGCAGAGGAGGGCGAGGGAGAGGAGGGTGAGCTTAGCGGCACCGAGACGGAAAGAAAGGCTCATCTGGAAACAAAGAGACGTATTTTATCATAAGAGTTATTTTGATTATAGTGATTCACACACAGCGCAGATAAAGAACCTGAAGGCAACAGGACCAGATTTTGGCGATCTGATTTCCAGTTTGTAGTCCGAGTGGTGTTGACCAATCACGTTCGAGCATTCTTTGGGAGAATGCAAGTAAACGGTCTGTTACCTTCAACACAACTGTAGTCTGGTATGAATGTCAGGATTGAGTACATAAAGTATCTATCCATCCATCCATCCATCCATCCATACATCCATCCATCCATCCATCCATCCATCCATCCATCTATCGATCTATCACTCCAAACATCAAGCGCTATAGTCCAAGAAGAGCACGTCATTTAAATTGTGGCACACATCATTTTGTCATAATATTAATGACTGACAAGGGTACAAAAGTCAACATGGACAAGAGAAAAAGTTAGCGGGGACAAACATCAACTCATCACCTCCATTAAAACCAGTTTAAGATGTTATTGAGCAGCAGGAGGAACGAGTCCATCGTGTGTTCATGTTTTAAAGCGTCTGTCGTCTGAGGATGATTCAGCTTTTCATTTGGTTTAAATATCCGGTCTCCAGTCCGGTCTCACATCTCAACGAGCGAATCGGACTGAAAACAACGAGCAGCGTACGGAAGAGGAAGTGTGATATTCGAGTGATATCTTATGAAAAAGTTACTCCTCATTTATTGTGCGTTTACCTACGAAATTCTAGCAGCACGTGTCACCCTCCGCCCGCTATATGAATACAGTCTTTTCAAAATAAACTTCTGTCTTCACAGGAAACTAATATGTTAAGTTCAGGCAACACAACTACTTAGTTTAGTTTTAGGAAAAGATCATGAAATACTGAGTTAGGTTGCATATTTTGAATTAAACTGAAACACTTTGTACTAAATTTCTCTGAAATCAGTTTTTTTTAGCTAAAAACCAGCTAAATGACAAACATCATAACATCTGTAGTGATGAGTAATTAATAATAATCATTCCCTCAATTAACAATAAGTGCTCTTTCTTTCAATCCTGTGTGTTTTCACCTCGGATACGATAACTGAATAAGTTCAGAACTAAATAGAAAATAAACCTTTTTGACATTTTACTTGGTTGTGTAACACACAAATAT